AATTTGAATTATAAGTATAATTTCGACGGGAATAACCTTAATAGTGTTATGAAGGAAAGGAATCTTGGTGTAATAGTCGATCAGTCTCTAAAGTCATCCAAGCAGGGCTTTTGCTAGTGGAAGGGCAAATAGGATTTTAGGTTGTATCTACAGAAATATTGAATACGAGTATAAAGAGGTTATAATTTCATTGTACAGGTCACTGGTTAGGCCACATTTGGAATATTGTGTTCAGTCTTGGACTCCTTACCTTAAAAAAGACATTGAATTGTTGGAAAGGGTTCAGAATGGTGCCTGGAATGGAGGGGTTGCCATATGAGGAGAAGCTGAAATCTCTCAAACTGTTTTATCTCGAATAAAGAAGAGTTAGGGAGGATCTGACTGAGTTGTTTAAAATTGTAAATGGAATTGATAGTGTTGATGCATCATCTTTTTTATAATTAAGAGTGAGAATAGTAGGACTAGGGTACACAATTATAAATTTTGGCAAGGTAAGAGTCATCTTCAGCTAAGACAGTTTCATTTTTCTAACAGGGTGGTTGGTCTTTGGAACGGGTTGCCTTCAGATGTTATGGAGGCAATAAATTTAAGTGAGTTTAAGAAAAAGCTTCATAACTATATAAATGATAAGGGGTTGGCTTTAACATATTTTTAAAATTATTTTAATTTAGTTTAAAGGATGGAACAGCCAAGGTGGACCAATAGGTCCCATGTTTTCAGAAAACATTATGTTACGTTATATGTTATCTTTCATTGTGCCACAAAATGATCTTTTTTCTTCATTCTTGATAAAGTTTATTTAACTTTATATCAAAAACTGGTGATGCTATTTTATCCCACATAAGATACACTTTGTCTAAGATCATAAAATCTACCCCCAAAAAAAGAAAGGCACACATAAAAACATAGCTTGCAATCTTTCAAATATTTCTGCTTACCTTTCTGTAGACTGAAATTTCTGTCTGGTTGGGCTGTCTCCATAGTCAATCAGTTTTAAGTGACGAGATAAAATATTGACACAACTGCCAACACTCCAATTTTCTGGAATTATGTTACTACACTTGGTTCTTTTTAAAAATATGCGACGTTTCTCTATATCATACTGGTATTAAAAAAAATGCAACAAACATAACGTCAAGTACAGTAAGAGTTAGTTTTGGCTCATTATTGCTTAGTTTTCAAAATGTTCTAGTCTTCACTTGGAAGTAAAACTCACAAAGGGGAATTTAAATACATTCACATAAGACAAATTCTATGTGTAAAATAAACATAAAAATAATATAAAAACTTTATTTTTTACACTGTCACATATTACTTTATACCAAAACAAGAGGAACACACTCCTTAGCTGAAGAATTTAACAAGAATAAAAGGCAATAAACAAGAATAAAGTTAAATAATAATGGTATGATGAGGTTTGAAAAACTCATTAAAAAAGAATAAAAAAAAATCCATAATTTCAAGCATGCAAGTATAGACAATTTTAAAATTATATCATTAGTAATTATCATTAAATATGAAGTTCACCTATGAATAAATTGTTCAAATTAACTCAAGGGCAGGTTCTTATGACATTCAATAGAACATTCACTGTATAAAATAAATAAAAACATTACCATTTCAACACTTTCATCCTTTGGAAAAACTACAAGACGGAATCTTTTTAAGTAACATGTTACTGGATCAAACCACTCAGCAAGAAAGCAGTATCTCTGTTCATCACCTGAAAACTATAACTTTTGGTCAACATATACTATTTTCATATTTACTTCAAGTAATCTTACTTAAAGTAGAATCAAATTTATCAATTATTACTATTGGACCAACTTGGGCAAAAATAAATTGTAAAGAACTTTTGATACTTTAAGTCAACTTTGAGCAGATAATTATGCAGTGTAGTTTTCAACTGGTGCATCTGAGTAAAAATTGTTTCTGGCAATAGTATGAATATTTTTCTTATTAACTCCAACAATGAAAAATATACAAATTCTTATATTTTCTAAGCCTTTTTTAAATGGCTCAGCAATAAGAAAACATTATTCTGATGTATTCATATATTCCTAGCTGTCAGTGTTTATGTTGATAACTTTTCCTTTTCAGAGAAGCCTTTTGAGCATATTAGCATCTCCCATATTGTAAATTATTATCATGTTTATATTCTATGCACCTTTTCCTTTGTTGCTTAGCTGAGCTGGCTCTTAAGTTTTTTTTATGATTGATACCAACTCACACAGTTAATTGTCACACTACTCTCACAGTGAGACAAAATAAGTTGGTGATGCTGAGGCCTTTAGTGTGGTAACTACAGTCATGTGAGTTGGTTCTCTATAGGTGTGGGGAATAAGTTTGCTCACAGGATAAAAAGTGGCTGAATGAAAGAAAACAAAGGGTTTTTATAAATGGTGTTTTGTTTGTTAGTTCTTGTTGAATTTTGTGCAAGTCTACTTGAGGGCTAGCCCTCTCTAATTTTCACGTGAAAGACTACAGGGACATCAGCTCTTGGGCTACCCTTTACCAACAAATAGTGAGATTCACCATCGCATTATAATGTCCCCATGGCTAAAAAGGACAAGCATGTTTGGTGGTGAGATTTGATCCTAGGAGCTGCAGGTTGCAAGTCCAGTGTCCCAACCAATAGACCATGCCAAGCCCCAGAATTCAGTCAAACTGGTTTAATGTCACAACTGGGGTACCTTAGGGATCAGTGTTAAGACCTTTGCTCTTTTTTATTTAAATCAATAGCATAGATAAATTACTGGTCAAAAAATTAAATCTGCTAATGGTATTAAGGTGTTGGGTGTTGCTAGCTGTGAGAAGGATGCTGCTGCTTTACAAAAGGATTTGGATTATTTGGTGAGTTGGATGAATAAATAATATAATTTTAAAGGGAATAAACTTAACAGTATTATGGAAGAAAAGAATCTTGGTGTTCTTGTTGACCAGTCTCTTAAGCCACCCAAGCAGTGTGCTGTTACTAGTGACACAGGAAATAAGATTTTATGTTGCATCTACAGAAATGTTGAATACAAGTCTAAAGTGGTTATAATTTCATTGTATAATTTACTGGTTAGGCCACATTTCGGAGTAATGTGTTCAGCTTTGGGCTCCTAATTTTGAGGACATTGAATTACTGGAAAGAGTTCAGAGGATGTCTACTAGGATGATGCCTGGGATAGAAATGTTATCATACAAAGACAGGTTAAGATATCTGAAGATATATTCTCTTGAAAAGGAAAACGAAGCATTCGAGAGGATTTTATTCAGATGGTTATGATTACTGAGGGAATCGATGGTGTTGATACATCATCTATTCATACTCAGTGGGAAAAATGGTAGGACTAGGGGAGAAAATACAAGTTTTGGCAGAATAGGAGTAATCTTCAGTGAAAAGTTTTATTTTTCTAACAAGATGGTTGGCCTTTGGAATGTTGGTTGCTGTAAATTTGAGGGAGTTAAAGTTAGAGTATGAAAGTTCTTATAAAAACTGTTTGTTAAGAATCCTGGTATTAACATTTCCATTAACTTTAGTGTAGAATAAAAGAGAATTGTTACAATGTATTAGCAAATAAGATCTGTTACAGAAACATGGCTGAGAATGTAGACACTTCAGTCCTTTTCATCTGACATCTGCAATTGCAGATCACAAAGGCACATGCACAAATCTAATTACACGTGAAAGGTCATATTGTCACATGTCACAATTTTAAATATTCATGAGAAAAGTTGGAATGTGTTATCTACAAAAATGTCTGCAAATCAGCAAAGTAATAGATATTTAGTTCACTGTGATTGTTCATGAAGCAGACAGAGAGATGTCAACTAAAGGCAATAAAATATAATTTAAAACTTTACAAGGTTACAGGAAATCAGATATTATTGGATACAAAACTGTAGGACAAGGAGGAAGAAAGTCAGGTTCTTATATGCATGGGGCCGGATTCTTTACAGTAGGTGTTTGTGACTTTTTGACAATAAATTTCAACAATAAGCAAACAGCACCAAACCTACTTGTTTTAAAATAATATATATATATTAAAACAAGTCAAACATATATACAAATGTTGTTACATTTTTGGTTATCACAGTTGTATCCAGAGCGATAAATAATTATATTCAGAAAATGTCGAAAATATCTAGAATCAGGTTCCTGAAATATATGTAAAAAAGGGGATGAAAAAAGTCATTTCTTGGCATTTTCTACATACCAACTGATAAGGGTTTTGAATATGTACAGGAATATATATACACTTCCAAACAGAAATAAGTGAGTCCACTTCAGAATAACTCCTTTGATACCATTTATCTTTGAATTTTAGCCATCAAAAAAATCTTTCTTGAAATCACAATATGTATATATACAGTTGATGGAGCCACCTTCATCTATAATTCTGGTTCACTTGTATAGTACTATATACTTGTATACTACTAACTGTAAAACTATATATCACCAATCTAAAAATCCAAATTGCTTTGTGCTAAATAATTTATACTTCTTTATATGTTTCATTATTTAATCATATATAACTGATTCAGTTATTTTGCAGGGCATGCATGTTCGGTTAACAGCTTTGTTTGTTTTACTCTTCCTCCTTTTTTAAATATTGCTGTCACTGTAGTATGTTTCCATTCATCTGGAATTGTACTGGTTTTCATGATAGTGTCATATGTAATGGCTAATCATTAATTTAATTTCCAGTCCTTTTAGAAGATGCGGATGGATATTATTTAGTCCATGTGATTTACTTGCCTTCAATTGGAAAGTATTTTAAATATTTATCTACACATTTGTTCAACACATTTTCTATTTTGTTGTTTAGCTCCTCAGTAAAGACACCAAAGAAAAATGTTGCTAGATCTTAAGCCTTTTCTTGGTCATTTTAGTTAACTTACCTATTCCAAGGTTTTCTGGGTCTGCTCAAGAAGTAATAGTTTTAGTTTTTGTTGAAAAACTATAAAAATCTCTTTGGATTACTTTTGGCCACCTTTTTATCTTTTTTTTACTTACTGTAACTTTTCTAACTTTATTTCTCAATCTGCAGTATATCTTATACTTCATTTTTGTAGTTAGTTTCTTTATATTTCTCCAATGCTCTGTGTTTCTAGCCACTCAACAATAATGTATGGTAAATCTACATTTTTATTCTTTAATTTATGTCACATATTGAAATCTGAATGATAGTGTGATTAATTCCTAACAATTTAGTGCAGAACATCCTGCTTGGAAAATAAGATTTGGCATCAACATTATCCATGCCTTTTCTCCTGTCATTTCAAAATTGAATGTTGAGCTTTGCCTGCATGTGGAGCTTTTCAAACAGGAGAACTACAAACTCTCAGACAAACAACATGGTTTGCAATATATATATAAGATGATTACTTTTTTCCTAGCAGACTTTAAATATTTTAATTCTTCAATCATTCCTTCATTAATGATTATGAACAGAGCTGGAAAATTAATAACTGAGCTCATTAATTGATTAATTCAACTAACTGATTATTCCCACATGAATATTTGATACTTAGAATAATTGAAAATAGGAATAATCTGAAATAAAAATTTCAATTAGTTGATTATTTTTGTGAGTTATGGTACTAATTAATTAAGCTGAACCTTGAATTAATAGAAAATAATACTGGCAATAATTCAATTACTTTGATAGTTATAATAATCGAAAATGATATTAATCAGAGACACTAATTTTGATTAGTTGATTATTTTCATGACATTAATTGATTTGATCATAATTTTGATACATCAATCATTTTTGATTGACACTAAGTGTAATCAATGCTCATAGGTAATCATTTATAATGATTACGTTAACTACCCAGCTCTAATTATGAAATCAAGTACAGATGATTGCTGTCCCTATTTAATTCTGGTAGGTTTAAGTACATGTTGATGGCGATATCTTCTCCTTAGCTTTTAAAACTAAGTCTTATAACTTCAAACTGTTCTCAATGGTTCCTTTGTAACTTTAGTAAATACATCCTATAAACAGCTTGAAGACTAGATTCACTTGACACAAGTTCTTCATGGGATATTTCAAACCTTACTTGTGATTAATGATTTTTGTACCTGTACAGTAATACCTCTTTCAGTGTTGGGAATGTTTTCAGAAAAGACATGATAATCTACAGTAACTTTGGTTTCTGCTTTCTCTGCTGGAAATATTTAATTCTTCAGTATTACTTCCATCACTGCTACAATAAGTGGTGCACATTCTACAAGTAGTTTTCTGCTTTAGCATTTCATTTGTGAAAATATCAGCAGCTGTATATAGACCATATATCTTTGAGTGAGAACTTTTGTTTTTGCTTATTTCAATGATTAGTGTTTCTGTTTACCATGATTGCTGAAAGTTTTCTGTATTTTCTTTATATACCAGCTCCTGCTCACCCCTGACTCTGTATATGAATACTCCTGACTGATCTTCACTTTCCTTTTTTCTGGACTTATGGTATCGGTCTCTTTAATCCTTCTTTGTATTTATGTGAGATTTTAAGGTAAAGTGACGAGGAACCCACTTTTTAGAAGATAAAGGTTTGTAGATGGCTTGAATGGATAGTGAAAGAAACTTATTGACTTTGTTTAGAGGTTTTGAAGTCTATCTCAGTTTGCAAAGACTTTGGAATAGCTCCCTCTTCTTAGTTCCTGTTTAAGTGTTATTAGGAGTGGTTTCTCATCTTCCATTTTTCCTAGCCTAATAACTCTTTCAATAGTGCTTTCAGTTATGTTGACCTAGTATATGTGTTTACAAAGTCCTAAAACTATGTTGACATCTTTCCTTCTCAGTTTACTAACTGCTACCTCTGATTCTGGTAAACCAAACAGGAATATATATATATATGGAATATCAGTAAATAAATTGTATTCTTACTTAATCATTGAAGATCCTGCTGTACTGTTCTCTTTTCTACTTTTTCTCACTTCTCTACTCTTTTCTGCTGCCATTATAACCATTTTTGACTTGATCTTTAGCCTATTTCAGTCTTCTTTCAAAGGTTTTTTTCCTTTTCAGTCTTTTTAAACTTGCTTTTAAAATTTAAAGCATGCATTTCTCATATAATCTGCTAACATATTTGTATATATAATACCTTACACTCAAACAAAAAAGTTGCTATTAAACTCTTATGTTCCCAGTTTTTTCCTTAACGAATGTCAAAATTTATAACTTAACAAATGAAATATACTAATGTGTAGCATATAAAAATTGTAATATACTTGTGAAATAGAAGATGCTGAGGTTTATTAAGACAAAAAGAAGACTATGTTAAACTAAGGCTAGATAAATGTGGACTTGTGTTTTTTGGTTCTAAATATCAAAGTTAACCGGAGCCTTCATTTTGAGTATTACGTGGAAAAAAACATGACTCTCCCAAATGTTTCCTGGGTTGTTTAAGCCACAAGGACAGACTTAAAAGTTTTTAACTTTTCTCTGACGTGCAATGGAATTAAAGGGTCTTCATTGTACAGGCGTTTCCATAGCCTTCCTATGGATTACTTAGTTGAATGGTCAAGTTTAATATTTAGGTTATAGGTTAGTGTTTTAGTAACCTAAAAACAGGCATGTTTTCATTAGTTATATCCTTGAGAAATGGCTTATTTCATGATGTGGTTTGTATTGTTAAATTATTCTAAAATTCTCTTGGTTATCTAAATGGGTGCAAAATAAAAGGCTATATTTAAGTTTATAAAATGTAATAAACACCTTTGAAGTAGAAATATGTTTTAATACTTCCTTAATGTTTTGACCGACAGGCACAGGAGTAAGACATCATCAGCCTCATGATGTCCTACTTAAGCTACTTATGTGTCAAAACATCATTTAAATATTAAAATACATTTCCAGTGCAAAGTTGTTTATTACTCTTCACCAATTTTACTCAAAAGGGTCTAATTTTGAACTGTAATTAAGTTTAAAAATGTAAACAGAAGTTTAAGGTGGTAGTGTCACTTTAGTTTAAATTGTTTATTTTTTTGAATAAGAAGTTGACCTTCATGGATCAAATGGTATTCAGTCACCTAATTGTTTTTTTTAACTTATATTCCAACATGTTTTAAAGTTTCTGACATTGGTTATATAACTTATAGTATAACTATAACTAGTATAAGTAGTGACGTACAACTTACAACTACAAGTCTGAGTTTATCACCTTTATAAGTCATACAGTTCGCTATAACTTATAGTTTAAGAAAGTTTAAATTATAAATATATTAAATACACTGTACATATTTTTTTTCCATTTTAGTGAATTATTGTGTTTGTTGGTTAGGCATACTGCTTTTTAAAGTTTCATACAAAACCACATAGCTTAGTAAAGGTCTAGACTTATTTCTAAAAATTCTATTTAGTCTATCCAAAGAATTTTCCACTTTACTAAGTTAGTATTAATAGTACTAGTAGTACTTCAATTTTCAAAGTAATATACGTTATTCACAAAAAATTTAGACTCTGTTTATAAAGTAAAATAAAAAATAAGGCAAAAAATTACAGATTGGTCAACTAACGCACCATTTCTTCTCTTTTTTGTTGAATTTAGATCTAAGTTCCAATTTCATTCTAATGACACTCATTCAAATTTGAGACCAGTCTCCAAACAATTTAATTCATTTCGCCACCAAACGGCCAAATTAGTTTTAAAACTTTGTGTTTTTTTTTTTTTTACTGAGTTGTAATATACCAGTGTTTGATAATTTATTTTCTGAAACAGTTTGTGGTTAAAAGCTTGCTTAAAAATAATAATAAAAAAATTATATGCTTTCGAGCTATCGTTTATTCTTCAGAATAATAAGAAAAAAAGAGAGTAGTTATTGAGATTCAAATATATATGTCATATCATGACAGATTAATCCAAACAGTTATTCTTTTGTAAGAACGAACTTTTATTGCGAACACGCAGCTGAGCAGGGCAGCCACTTGTTTCGTTCTCCCGCCAAAAAAAAACTCCACAAGTACACACCCATGTACTATGTACTGCCACCTAGTGATCATTTATATAAAATACATCCATAACACCCCCTTCCCTTAAAGTTTTTTGAATAATGGAAATCAGGATGGAATATATTCTCTTCCTAGAGAGATCTAGGGTGCATTCTTGTCCATCAGAAAAACAGATCACGCAATTATTCATAATCTTTTGTTTTGTCCAGAATGCCTCATGTCCACTCTTGCAAATGACTATTCACAGGTGATGAAGTGCCTGGCATAGTTGATGATACCTCATTGTGTTTGATGCTGTCTGGTGTGGTACAATTTTAATGGTTACATGTCAGGGCTGGAAGATATTTATTCAGTACACAAAGCACCATTTGGTGCTTTCGGTAATACAACAGGACTGGGATGTACTGGTACGGGTGTATCTTCAAGGTCTATTGCTTCCATTGAAAATCTGCCTGACCTTTCATATCTCCTCTGTATTTGACTATATGACAGCTCACCAATATACCATCTCCTAACACACTGGTTATGAAACTGGACAAGTCATTTCTTGAACAGTTTCAGGTATCTATTTTTTGGCCATGACTAAAGTTTCATGCATACCCCGAATCTTCAGTTAAAAAGCTACGGGTTTTTACATGCTTGAACTGTTTCGCCTTTTTTCAGCTATATTGTTTGTATTTGCCCTCTGAGATCAGAACTCAAGAAGCAGATCAAGTGCATATCTTAGTTTACGACCCCTCAACATCTCCACTACAGAAAATCCAGTGGTGGATTGAATTGTTATTCTGTAGCGAAAGAAGACAAGTGCAACCTTTGTTTATAAGGTGCTTCTGATATCTTCTTTAATTAAATAATCCTTGAATGTCTGCACGGTAAGTTCAGCTAATATGGGGCAGAAGTTATATGAGAGATTCCATTCATACTCTGGTTAGGTGGCTCGACTCGCAATCTGCGGGTCGCGGGTTCGAAATCCCGTCACCGAACATGTTCGCTCTTTCAGTAGTGGGGCGTTATAATGTTATGGTTAATCCCACTATTCGTTGGTAAGACAGTAGCCCAAGAGTTGGCGGTTGGTGGTATTGACTAGTTGTCTTCCCTCTAGTCTGTCATTGCTAAATTATGAATAACTAGCACAGATGTCCTCGAGTAGCTTTGTGCAAAATGCAAAACAAAACAATCTATTCATACTACGTTTCACAAACTTGAACCTGCTTTTCATTCTTTTCATACATCTCCAGCCACCACAATTTATGGGAAGCCTTTTATCTCTGTGATGCCAAGATAAGATTGAAGTACACGTAATTGTTTAATCACAGATTGGCAACCTTGCCGCAAAACAACAATACGAGCTCCCCATAAAACACATCAATCTTGTACATTGAGCTTCTGATTTCCTGAAAGGAATTGAATGAATTTAGTTCCTACATTGCCATGTGACCATAGTTTAAAAACATACTAATAGACACTCTAAGGCAGCCTTTAGTGGTCTATTATGAATCAGAAGGTTGCTTGGAGTATTAGTGTTCCCGTATTCTTTACCTGCTTTATATATTAATACATATTCGTCAACTCTGGATATTATGGCCCTTTTCTGAATCGTTGACAAGGCTATTTTGTGTACAGCTTTCATTCTGTTGAAGAGAGAAACCAAGGGCTTGAGATCAATATATAGAGTGAATCTTCTTCCATGGATATACTTGTTAAATCTCTGCATTTCGAAAAATACAACCAGTCCTTCTTTGTTTAGTTGGGACCAATTTTTCTTTGCAACTGTAAGAGTTCTTGACAGGAATCTAACAGGTTTGCCTGATTCATCAAGCATGTGGTGGGAAAGAATTGCACTAACTCCATAAGGTGATGCATCATAAGAGAATATGGATTCCTTGTTTCCATCATAATGTAACAACACATCTGATGATTGCAGCAACTGCTTGGAAACCTCAAACGTCTTCTCTTACTATGATCCCCAATGCCACTTTACATCCTTCTGCAACATATTATGCAAGGATGCTTAGAGCACTGATAAGTTTGGAAGGAATTTAATGTAGTATGTTAACAGTCCTAAGTAGGCCCTAAACTTTGACAAACTAGTAAACAGAGGTGTGTCTTGAACTACTTTTACTTTCTCTTTTACAGAGTGTAAACCCATTGCATCTACTTTGTATCCTAAGAATACTACTTCTTTTCCGAGAAAACTGCACTTCTGTTTAAATGAAGTCCTGATTTTTAATTCTTTTTAACACTTGCTTCAAGATGATTCTTTTTGTTCAGCCTGGTCACCAGGATATCATTCAAATACACTGCAACATGCAGAATCTCTTGAAGCAAACACTATAGTATCTATTGGAGGACTGTAGGGGCTAGGGAGACGCCAAAAGGCAGTTGTTTGTGTCCTGTTAGCATTCACAATGATACACTTCTTGGAGTCTTCATCCAGTGTATTTGCTGGTAGGTGTGGCTCATGTCTAGTTTAGAATACTGCAAGCAAATATTCAATCCTAGGGATTGAATACTATTGTTTATTGTTAATTTATAATATTCATATATTTTCACTGAACCATCTGGCTTCAGTACTGCAGTCCAGTCTGAAAACTTCGCTGGTTCAATAATTTTAATTTTCAGAAACAGTCGAGCTCAGCCTCCACATTGGGTTTTATAATGTATGGAACTGATCTTGATTTAAAGAAACGTAGGATTTGATTATTTTCAACATATATTTTGGTTGTAATTTCCCACAAATGTCTAACTATTCTTTAAACACTGTTTTATGCATTTGTAATACATCCTGCAGTGACTAGGGTTTTACTTTGGTCAGCTGATTGACTGGTCTCCATTTCAAGGCCAATTCAATTATCCAGCCTCTGCCTGACATTTTGAGTCTTGCACTTGTCACTACTATCAATAGCAGATTTTAACTGTACTTTACTATTTAAATGTTACTTGGGCTGCTCCAAATATGTCTATTATTTTTCCAGTGTAGGTCTTCAGATTAATTGCACATGTCTCAAGATCAGGAAATATTGCATTACTCTACAATTCTGAATGCTCTGATTGATTCATGATAATTACAATATACCCTTTTACATTTTTGGCATTAGCATTTAACATAAGAATTATAAATACCATTTTTGGAATGTACGTTTCCTTCATACTGTACATAATGTATGCTTGTTCTTCCTCACCTTGTTCTTTATCTTCCTCCTCCCTTAGGTGATGAGCGCCATGAAAGATTGTGGGCTTGGTTTGTCTTTCTCTATCTGAAGTTCGCATTTGTTCAACTTTTGCTCTACTTCTTCGGGCCTTTTTATGTGGCTTTTATCCCACAATTATGGGATTTTTCGTTAATAAATTTGTAGTCCTGTGGCAAATGTTTACCTTCACACCTGTAACAGTTTCTGGTCATAGGTTGTTTCTGTTGTTTTTTTTGTTGCTGAATAGATTGTTTACAGACAAACACGACCTTTGAGCACTAGTACCGACACTGATGACATCCCTAGACCGCAGATGGAAATGTTTTACATTTCTGTTAGCGGATTCAATGACTTGAACTGTCTTCAATGCTTTTTCGAACCTTAAATCTGCTTACAACAACAATCTGGTTATATATATTGTTACGTCTCTGGTCGTTAGTTAATTTTCCGTAAAAAATTCTTTCCGATAAAACTTTAGCGACACAAGTCCTTTCTTAAAAAAAACTGGTTTATTCTTTCTGAATACAACTTTGCAATACACTTAATTTCCACAGTCACGCTATAACTCACAACGAACGACTTACGTGCTCGACTCAATCGTCAATCTCGGTCTCCAGTTCAATTACATTGTTGCCGTCAGTTCTTACTGGTCTTATATATACAAGAATACCGCATATCTAGTAACCTCCCGAGATTTCAGGAAGGGACGTGAACGTTCGAGAATATGACGTGTTACTAGCGTCACGTGACCCCGCTGTCGTAATACTGCCCCTTCCTTAGTATTGTTCGTCCCGAACAATAGCCACTTACATTACACCAAAAAACAATTAACAATAACTTAATTAAATGTACGGAATTTAAAAACACAAAATTAAAATTCAACAAAGTCTCTTAATTTTACGGGACGTATCTTCTTCCGTACTGGTCTCCATCTCATTGGCTTCTGCTTCATGTGGGGTTCTTCTGCTTCATCAGGAAACGTCCTATTATCTGTAACAGTCACATCAGTGGTAGTAACTTCATCGAGGGCTTTACTGTTTCCCTTCTCCAAACCGGGTAGAGTTTCTTCTTCGATAGTGGCTTTTTCAGGTGATACATTTTCAGCAGCGTCATTTGTTCCATTGTTCACTTCATCCCAACTTAA